CATCAGGTGTGGCTGCACCTGACGCTCTTCTGAAGCCAGTTGCTTCCCCCCCACACACAGTGGGGGTAGAGAGAGCTATTTCTTCACTAGATGCTCTTCCAAAGAAGACATTTTAATCCAGTTGAAATGTAACTTTTAAAGACTGGCAGGAGAACCCCTAACTCTAGAGTCCTGGGCTCCACTGAACAAGTGATGGGTCCAACTCTGATCTCTGCCTTCAGCCATCCAGCAACCAAACGTCCATCCAACGGGGGTGATTAAATCACAGACGCTTAAGTAACTTCTACAACAGAACACAAAACAGCAACTGAGAGGAATATGTTGAATTCTATGTATCTTCATAGATCAATCTTGAAACCATAAGGTTGAGGTAAAGAAAATTCTAACACTTTAGATACCATTTGGTACCTAAGAAAGAACTAAATTGGGTCTAAAGTTGCACATATTTCAACGACAAACGTACATGGATTTGAATGACATGATGTTTATTGTAGTGTTTCCCCTCCCGTGGAGAGGAAGGGAGAGAAGCAGGACTGGACAGAGGTATGATCAAGATTTCTACCTTATCAGCAATGTCTTATTTCTTTTAAAACTGTGAAACACATATAACGTGTTAACCTTTGTTCTCTGTGGTAAGTACTAGGGTGGGCATTTTATTGGACCCCATACTTTCCCATAGTATTCTTTCTGAGAGAGAGAAAAAGAGAGAGAGTGTGAGTTAGAGTTCCTGTTATCTGAGTTTGTCTTCAGACAAATCTTTCCTGTCCTCATCAGATTGTACATTCTCTGAGGGGCAAGGTTACACCAGACCTAGCACAGGGTCCATTTGGTGGGAGGGGTGATTTCTGGAGGATGGAAAGATACAGTCCCCTTAATCCTTTTCTTAACAACCGCCTTCATTGGGCTTTCTCAAGCCCTCAGTGCTCGCCTTGCCTTGGAAAAGGCCACTCTCCCGGGCATGCTCAGGAGCACTGTGATGATGAGGAAATGTGATCAGGGCCTTGCTTGTGCCGGATTCCAACCCCACACACTCAGTGAGCACCACCGCGCTCCATAAATGGAGAAAAGTTTCATTAAACACCAGGCAGCAGATGATAACCTACCACACCTGACATGTTCCTCCTCTGGGGCTGAAACATCAGCTCCAAAATTGCCTCCCTCAAAAGCCCGACTCCTGGAAATAGCATAGCAGCCTTCACAGCAGGGTTGTTTTAGGAATGGAATTCAGGGTGGTCACTGGAAGGAGATCTGAATGCCTTGCCAATGATCCTTCTCAAATTCCTTTTCCTGTATATATTATATTTCAATTGCCCTAAAATTGAGTTGTGTTACCATCGAAATTATACATTTCTCAATATCCCAGCTGCAGGGCACTTCTTGTAATGAAGAGTGAGGATCATCAGCCCAGCGCTTGTCTCTGGGCTGGCAGCAGTCCTGCCTCTGTGAGAGGCGCCCGTGTGTCCTACAGATTGCCCCCAGTTCCCTCCTGCTCTTTGAACAATTATTTAAAATGCTGGAAGTGGCAATGTAGAAACAAGATCATTAAAGAGAGGGGTGGAGGGGAAAAGGGAAAATTTCAAAGGGTCATGATTTCCTAATTCAAGAGTTGTTCAGGATTATGTCTATTTTATGCACCGATTACACACACACACACACACACACACGTACATATATGCACACGTGCAAACATACACACACCTCCAGCCCCAGCCCAGAGATAATCCCTGAACTGGAGCAGATTCAAAGTCCTAAAACCTTCCAGAACCATTTTAGAGAGAGGCGTCACTCTGCTAATAATCAACCAAACTAGTCTGCTGACCCTCATTTCTGGTGACCAGGAAACCTTCACTGCTCACTCTGACAGTCACTTAGTCATTACTAGGTGCTGGGCGCTGTGCTAAGCAACACTTTTCATGCATCGCCTCATTTCACCCTCACAAAACACCTAGCACGTTGGTTCTTGATGCATGACCCCCAGACCAGCAGCACCCGCATCGCCCAGGCACTTGTCAGAATTACAAAGTCTAAGGATCCACCCAGAGCTTCTCAATGAGCTCAGAGCATGGGGCCCAACAAGCTGATTTAACCAGCTCTCCTAGTGGTTCTCATGCATGATGAAGTTCAGAATCGCTGCCTAGAAAGTCAGTGCTGTTATCATCGCTCCTCAACAAACTGAGGCCCAGAAGAGTAAAATGATCGTTCAAGTCATATAGAAAGTGGTTGGCACAAGATTTAGAACCCTGACAAATCTGACTCGAGTCCAGTCCCTTAATCACAGTGCCACGCGGCTCCTTATCTGAGGGTCGAACATGGATTAAATCAGCAAACAGCAGGCAAAAGCATGCAAGACGGGTGTACGAGTGTGATCCTTCTACATCTTAACAGCTGAGTCATATGATGGGCCACAAAGAACAATGATGCTTCTTCCAAACATACTTTAACTTACATGTCCACCAAAATGGGAGTCGTTATATAAATTACGATACATCCATGTGATGGAATATAATGCAGTTTTGAAACCGTGTTTGCCAAGATTTCCAATGCCCTATAGAAATATGTAGGACACAAGAAGGGGAGAAATTCAGCTATACACTCAGCCAAGGACTAGGAGCACCACTGTGGGCAGTTTTCCAAATGTTAGCATGTTGGTGAGGATGTGGGAAGTGAAGTGATTTCATTAACGGCTGGTGTGAATATAAATTGATATAGCTACTTTGTAGGACAATCTGGCAGTAGATACTTAAATTTTAAAATGCACATGCTCTGTGACCCCCAAGTTCTGCTTCTCGGAATCCACCCTAGAGAAATACTTGCACATGTGCATAAAGAGACACGTACGGTGATTAGCACTGCAGTTTAGTTTCTAATGAAAAGAAACCTAAAAGAACCCAAATTTCTATCATTATGAAGGCTGGATAAATAAATCATGGTATATTCCTATTGAAGAATGCAATGAGTAAGTTACAAAGAATGTAGGTTTTCATATGTGTATGTTTATAAATGTATAACTACGTACACACATATCTATATATTCATATATATGTATATACACACATATATCTACACATATGCACATACATATTTGCAATATATCTATAGATAGAGAATTGATGGATGGATGGATAGATAGATCTCAAAAGTAAGTTTTCATGGGATATTGTTAAGTAAAAAAATTAAGTTTCAAGAAACAATATACGAAGTTACTTAAAAGCAAAAGGAGAGGAGAAGAGAGGAAGAGGGGAGAGAAGCACAGAATCAAACAAAATAATCCCATTCGCACATACACACGCTCCTGATTTTCAGTGCACATTTTCAGCAATGAGTACGTATTGCTCCTAGTATTTAAACAAACAAACAACAGCAACAAAAACACAACTCTGATCCCAAGCTGAGAGAGACAAAGCAAAGCGCCGCCTCTTACTGGTGCAGGGTGTGCGGCGGGGCGTCCGGTTTCTCCGTCTGCCCGTAGCAGCTGGCCTTGGCCTCTGGGATGTAGGAAAAACTGTCCAACATGGAAGACGCGGCAGTGGTCAGGATGCCCAGGCCATCCCTTACTCTCGCCTGCAGGCTGTAGTCCCAGTCATCATAGGAGACTGAAATGAGTCCCGATGGAAACTCTTTGGGGATGAGTTCTGTGTTCCCAGAGACCAAGCTGGGGACAATCCAGAAGAAATCATACCCGGTGAGGCCCAGGGAGCGGGCCTCGCTCAGAATGAGGACAGCCTCATCTTTGGAGCAGTAGAGCAAGATGACAGAAGAGTGGATCTTCTTTAGCTGGACTTGCGTCTTGGCATCGTCAAAGGAGGTGTCCAGGGTGATCACGTTCTGCATGTCCCAGCCCACGAAGCTGTTGTCCACTGTGGTCTTGATGAAGCTGATGAAGTCCCTGTAGCCGGGGTAGATGGTGGTCACCAGGGAGAAGACATGCCAGTCGTAATCCTGCATGATCTTCATCATGACCACGGCTTGTTGCTGGATGGACGCTCCAAACTGGAAGAAGGTAGACGTCGGATCCTGCCAACAGGTAAAAAAAAGAAAAGCAAGATGAGGCAGAAGGCAGTTTATACAGCACCATCTGTCTTTATAGGCTAACAGAAGCTCCTTCCTAGAAGTGAGGGGAAATAAATCACATATCTATTCATTCGCAAACGTTCCTGAGCACCTACTGTACACCCCACCCTGGAAGAGATACTGAACATACAAAGAGGAGAGAAGTCCTGGACTTGGAGCCCACGCCCTGATACACTGAGGAACATCTGTTACTTCTGTCATCTCATCATCTATTCTCCTCATTTTCCTCTAGTTCATCCCATCCACCTCGCCCCTTTGAGTCCATATGTTTCCAACAGAATGAACTCTCTCTGGCCCCCAGGCTCATGGCTGGGAAATGAAGCCGTCAGAGACAAAACAACATCAGTAAATAGAGACAGATTCCTGATGACACTTAGACCACCTGGAGCCTGCCGTGCCCGTAGCCATTGACTCTGGACCTGTTGGTTTATAAGCCAACAAGTTCCCATGTTCACCTGAGCCAACTGTAGTAGAATTTCTGTCCCTTGAAATCTAGACTCCTGTGTAATATAGAGGATAATAAATGCTGGTGGCCATCTATCTGCTCAATCAACAAATATTTGGTGAGCACCTAACTGTGCAGCAACAGCTTGGAGAAATGATGCATACGGCAGGCACAGACATCGCCTCTGTCTTCATAGATCTGCTGGGAATTTGAGAAAGAGCAACTTCCATAAACTGGGGGCTGAGAGGAGCACGAGAGAATGTTGAAGGAGAATCCAGGTGTGGAAAAGGGGAAACGGGTGGATATTAGAGTCAGAAGAGCCCCGAGAATACATCTTGACTATGCCAGGAACTACAGATAAATGCATTACGGTTTGTGAAACAGAGGGGATGAGATGATGTTGAAGAGCTTGGCAAGAACCCCATCACATATGGCCTCAGGGGTTATGTTCAGAGGCTTACACCTTATTCGGAGCACAAGGTGGAGCTGCTGGGTGCTCTTATACTGGGAAGTTGGGTGGTGACTTGTGTTGGGTTGAGGGGCTTCTAATAGCCCAACCCCCCCCCCCCCAAGTCTATGGTCTAATCCAGCCGTGGGCAAACTACAGCCCGGGCCGGGCACCCGGCCCATTTGAAATGAATAAAACTAAAAAAAAAAAAAAAAAGACCGTACCCTTTTATGTAATGATGTTTACTTTGAATTTATATTAGTTCACACAAACACTCCATCCATGCTTTTGTTCCGGCCCTCCGGTCCAGTTTAAGAACCCATTGTGGTCCTCGAGTCAAAAAGTTTGCCCACCCCTGGTCTAATCACAAGAACAAGTTTCCATTTGGAAGAGGCAGCTGATACATACAGCTGTACAATTTACAAATGACCTTCACACCCCTTAACTCACCAAAGCTGCATGAGGACCCTCAGAGTGTGGTATATTGTTAGCAGGGGAAACAGGCCCAAACTGGTCGCAGCCAGTAGTATCCAAACTCAGGCTCAGATTCCACGTCCAGCACCCTTTGCAACACAAACCACAGCCTTCTTGGGGTCACTGAAGATCAGCTTCACCCACGGTGCAAAAATGCCAATGAAGCCAGGTCTGTCTCTGTGTTGTAACAAATCGGGATTTGACCAACGCTAAGATGTATTTCTTCCCGGGAACTAAGAAAATTCTCGAAGAGTCCTTGTTGTACCACAGCCATGCATGTTTTTATTCTGCATGCTGTGTCTACCACGTGTATTCCCACAAACTTGGAAGTACGAATATGGGAATGGGAACTCCATTGTGTGTGTGTGTGTCTCTGTGTGTGTGTGTGTGTGTGTGTGTGTGTGTGTGTGTGTGTGTGTGTGTGTTAAGAGTGAACAACTCCATTCATATCTTTCAGAACAATACTTTGTAGCTGTGTGTCTTAATTCTGAACAAGTCTGAATAATTTTTGCTGTGGGCTCTCACTGAACAGGAAGTTTTATCTGAATGGGCCAAAAGCTATAGTTCTTCGAAATACTCCCCTTTTCCAAAATGCAGGGGTTAGGGGGATAATTTGAGTGCAGTGTGGCTTGAAGAAAGAGAGGAAGAAAAAAAAACAGGAATAAATGCCTTCTGCGCCCCTTCCGATATTACAGTTCTATGAATTTTACCTAATTAAGTCAATTAAAATGGGAAACAGGTTTAAAGACTTTGGGTCGTTATTCAAGTGTTCCATATCCATCATTGAGGAATTCCAGTAGCTTTTGGAGAATTCCAATATTCTTGGATGGATTAATCATTTCAAATCGTCCTCAACAGGACTGTGGACTACTCAAGGGCAGAGATTCTGCTGTCCTCATCTCTCTGTCCCCAGCACCTGGCAGAAGGCTTGGCACATGACACATCAGGTAATGGAGGGTGAGGAAATGCGTGAGTGGGTGAATGTGCGAAAGAGGTCTAAGGAGAATGTCCTTGGGTTAAACACAAAGTGAAAGGGAAGAATTCAGCGTCTGAGGTTGTGCTTTGTGTGGCTCTTGAATGTCATGTCCAAAAACTAAAACCTTTCAACATCGTCACCCTACTACCATGAGGAACCCCTTCTCCATTAAACACCCGAAATACATTTAGGGTGTCCTGTATTTATAATGAGATATAGGAGCCCTATAAGCCCCACCAGGTATCCATAGAACCTCAATTAAATACCAAAGAAGGCAACAATATACAGAACGCACCCACAGCAGAAAGCACAGAAGTGAAGTCAGAAGGCAGTTATAGTCATCAGCCTTATGTGCTGTCACATAAGGGGAATGGGACTTCTTGGAATGGGACTGAAAAGTTCCAAACTTAATTACAAAAGAAATGTAATAAGGAGCAAAGATGCCTCTGAGGAAGCCAGTACAGTATGACCGCAAAAGGCAATGGGACCAGCATCTCCTTGCACTGAGCACACAAGGAACTAAGGAAGTTCTCAGGAGGACATATGCTAAGGGCACAGCTAGAACCTAATTTAAAAAAAGGTCTCTGGCCCTAACCGGTTTGGCTCAGTGGATAGAGCGTCGGCCTGCGGACTGAAGGGTCCCAGGTTCGATTCCGGTCAAGGACATGTACCTTGGTTGCGGGCACATCCCCAGTAGGGGGTGTGCAGGAGGCAGCTGATCTATGTTTCTCTCTCACTGATGTCTCTAACTCTCTATCCCTCTTGCTTCCTCTCTGTAAAAAATCAATAAAATATATATATTTTTAAAAAGTCTCTGAGACAACCCACATACACAAACTTCCTTGGAATAGTTGCTATTGGTGGAGGTGAAGGTCAAACATGTTACATGTAGGAGTTGAGGGTATGTGGGATGCTCCAACGCCCTCACTCCATGTACTATGAGCTAGACATGACCAGTGTACCCATGAGCAGCTTTGTGCACAAGGCAGAATTGTATGCAAATGCAGTTTTATCTGGTTCTCCACATAGAGAGGAGGGCACGGCTGCATTGGGAACTTTATGAAGGAGAAAGATAATGATAAGGATAGCAGTTCATTGGCCAAGAGCTTGGCACAGGCCATCTGGGGAAGAGTATGTGCAAAGTCATTGCCTTGTGCCATCCCCACCCTCCTGTCTTGCCATACTTTAATCCAAGTTCAATCTCTCCTGTTACTCTCTTGTGATCCTCACTAAGATCCTCTCCCTGGAGGAATAGCAGTGTAACTTCTGGGGGTCAGACTACCCAGGTACCAATGCTAATTGTGTGTCCTTGGAAAAACTCACTTAACCTTTCCAAGCCTCAGTTTGCACATCTGTACAATGGGTATGGCAATGGTAATATTTACACCAGCTAACATGACAGACGTGCTTACTATATATGACAGTCATGTGTCTAAGACTTTTTTTGGTGAGATTATCCTTTAATCCTACCCCCCCAACTTCCTAAACTGGTATTATCCCCATTTTAGAAATGAAGAAACAGATTAAGGGTAGAGTGACTTTTCCATGGTTACACAGGCAGTGAATCAGGTTTATCTGCCTTCAAGATTCCAATCTTTTCACCCCTGCACCATGCTGTTGGCAATGATAGCATTTTCTCATTGAGTTGTATAGAAACTTCCAGTACAGTGCCCACCACCTATCAAATGACCAACAAAGGTACTAGTAAGTCACTGTTATTTCCCCATAGCCAGGAATCTCAGTGTCTCACATCAGGGGCTCATGCTACCCCCTCCACTAAGGCAGTAATTCACACTCTGAACCTGAGAATCTCAATAACTCACCCTATTCATTGCTGCCTGATGCTTTAACCAATCTCCTTCTCTACTCTATAGCCAGTCACCTATGGCCTCCCTAGACCTATCACATTAAATTTAGACTCTCTAGCCTACCCCTGCATGCTCACCAATCAAACCTTGTAGTTGAAATAGCATGGGCTCTGGCCTATCAAACCTCAGTTCAAGTCCGCATGGGGTTGCTGTGAGGATGGGATGAGCTGGTAGAAGTAACGGGCTCTTCTATCTATGAGGACCCCAACAGCTTGGGGTTCCTCTCCATGTGCTCTGCCCTCTAGACCACATAGACACCCCAGAAACCTAAGGGGATCCTTATCCTATTTCAGAAACTGGTATCTCCAGATCCACTGGCATGCTGCTCTTGCATTCCCCCTGCAAACCAGCCCACTCTCCCTGAGCACAGGAAGCTGTGTGAAGAAGAGAAGGAACTGTCTTTCCTCACAGTGATGAATAATGCTTTGGAGAGAAACCATCACTTGTGTCCTTCATGGACCTCATGCAGTTACCTTATACCACTTTCATTTCCTCTGACATCTGCAACAAACTGCAAAACCCACTGTGGACAAAGGCATTGTAATCCCCTCAGAGGGATGGACTCAAGAGTTATTTGCAACACATAATTGCACAGCGAGGCACTGAAGAGCCTCACGTTTAGCGCTGGATTTTTCTAAGGTGGTTTTATGGACTGGCAGGAGGTGATGGGGGAATCTGGCCACATTCCCAGGGCCTGGCAGCTGATATGCCAAATGGCCCTTTCTTTGGGGG